TTGTGAACTTCAGAATCTCACGTTCTGCTCAGGAGAAAACATACTTTTTCTCAGAACTCTGATTCGCTGTATTGGACCCGACCAGAAGTGAATCCAACCAGTAAAAACACCTGGGGGAGTGAGCAGCTCACACAGCTCCTCCCCACGGACTCTCTGATTCGCTTCGGAGTAAAATGGGAAGGAAGAAGTCAACACATCTCCGCCCCAAAATATGAATATGAATACTGTTGTTTTTGCATGTAAAATGCTTCCTGTTTGCTGACTGGCTGGTCCCGATACCTGTATCGCACAGCAGTAGAAACCTGAAGTCCGGAGTACTCTGTAAAACTTGTATACGTGTTTTGTTTCTTACCAGTAAAATCAGATTATTGTTATAACCTTTAATTCCGGTGTTTTGAATTCCTTTCTTTATTAAATAGAACCAGCCTCATCTAACGAACGGCGCGTAGCGGAGGGGGGGGGCTTTCAGCCACCAACCAAGGTGTTTGCTACAACAAGACCTGTGGCTGCAACCCGGAGCAAAGCAACAAACCATTGCGTAGCAATAGTAGCTAATCTAATAAGAAAACACCGTTAATTAATTATTCTATAATTTGTAAAACTACGGTGTTAAAAATGACAATTTCAAAAATACAGATTCTAAATGGTCCAAGTTGAAGCGTTTGTTTGAATAGTTTGCAGGAGGCAGGTACTTGCTTTCAAGCAGAACAGGGCAAACAAACTTGGGAGTGTTTACGTGTTCGGCGTAATGACGTACCGCGGCCTCGACAATTTCTGTAGTCCTATTCAGCCAACAACCATCGTTTTTCAGACACGTAAACTCTTCAAAAATCACAAGTGGGGTCACTGCTGATGTATTTAATGTCGTAGAACAAAACGTGATCCGTCTCTTTAATTTGTGTCAACCACAGACCTTATTTCGAGCTATTTTCCAAAATCCTATGGAGAAATTGCATTGCTTTTTGTCGAAGGATCCGGAAGTGGTAAAAATGCTAACTTACTTCTGAGTTTTAGGACACGTCACTGTGGCACTCTATTGGCAACCAACAAAATGATGTTCTTACAGCGGACATCACAATAGAGGAGGTGAATTATGCTATAAAAACATTAAAAAATTATAAATCTCCAAGTAGTGATGCCAAGTGGTACAAGCTGTTCAAGGAAGAGCTGGCTCCCCTACTTCTGACCTCCTTTAATTCAACAATTCAAAACAACAAAATACCGCCATCATGATCTGAGGCAATCATTTCAGTCATACCAAAACCAGGAAGGGATAAAGAACAATGCGGGAACTATAGACTCATCTCTATATTGAATGTGGACTATAAAATATACACAAAAATTATCTCTAAACGATTGAACACTTTTAACAGAATTGATAGAAGAAGACCAGACAGGATTCGTAAACCAACGTCAAACACAGGATAATATTAGAAGAACTCTACATATAGTGGACAAAGCACAAAAGAAAGTACTATATTAGTAAGCATTGACGCGGAAAAAGCATTTGATAGTGTAAATTGGGCATTTCTGTACCAAGTATTGGAACGATTCGGATTCAATAGCAAATCAACACAATGTATAAGAACATTATATCAACAGCCAACTGCTAGAATCTAAATAAATGGAAACCTGACAGACAAAATTAACTTACAGAGGTCAACAAGGCAAGGATGTTGCCCATCACCCACTCTATTTGCGCTTTTTATGGAACCCTTGGCACAGGCAATACGTCAAAACACAGAAATTAGGGGAGTTTAAATAAAGGGCATCAAACACAAAATAGGACTTTTTGCTGATGATGTCATAACATTCCTCGAGCAACCAAATATATCACTTCCTGTATTACTGAAACTTTTAGAAACCTATGGACACTTATCAGGATACAAAATAAATATTTCCAAAACAAAGATACTAGCACTTAATTACACGCCAACAACAACAACGATTAGGGAATCATTTAATCTAAATTGGAATTTAAAGCAAATAAAATATCTGGGGGTTATCATTAGATTACTAAGGGACTTTCTAAAATATACAGAGCAAACTATAACAAGATAAATCAAGAGATACAAAAAGACATTGAAAGATGGTCTACTCTACCGCTAGATTTTACCTCAAGAATTGAGACTGTCAAAATTAATCTTCTGCCCAGACTTCTTTATCTTTTCCAGTCCCTGCCAGTAGAGGTCCCCCAAATTCAATGTACGACATGGGACAGGTTAATTCCGGGGGGAAAGAAACCTAGAGTTAAATACAAAACTCTCCAGCTACCAAAACATAAAGGGGGCATGGGCTTCCCAAAACTAAAAGAATACTTTGTTGCTGCCCAGTTAAAATATGTTGTAAATTGGTGCAAACCAGATTACACAGCAAAGTGGAAGGAAATAGTTTGTAGCTAATCCAATCCAGAATATTATTGCCGATAAAGAATCATACAAGAAAATTCAAAACAGCTATCTGCACAAGGTGAACATGCAGTTCTGATATTGAACACAGGATGGAGCATTCATCACGTGAGAACGCCTTCTCACGTGGGAAGGTTGCTTACGTAGTACAAAGCAAAAAAATAGGTACAGAAATGTTCCGACATTTTCCGATTCACAAAACATTGCGTACCGGCAAGGGAAGTGCGTACCGGCACTTCCTACGCCTGTTTCCCTTTATAAATCACAATCGACTCGAAATGCGGCGCAGCTTTTGCAGGCTTCACGTAACGCCCATATTTGCCTGTAAATAGTCAAAGAAACGCCCATTCATTCATTCATTCAGACTGACTGCATGAAGAAGATCGCAGGAAATTACGACCGAACAGCTAAAAAAGACATCTCACACCGTGTCAGATTTGGGTTATTTTGGGAAGGTGGAGATAAATCATAATGTTTGGTGGATGCAGTTTGAACCAGAGTAGCAGCATGGAGGTCGGATCGTCACCAAAATAAATAAATAAGTGGTCCAAAAAAGGTTAATGACAAAAAAAATACACATAACCTTCCTCAGGCAGTGTGTTTGTCCCGGGGACAGGAGACCCCCCCTTGATGAGAAACTGTAAGAAATGATCGGGGAATCCCTCCGGAGTGGAGTCATGACGACTGGATCTGAATTATTTTGTTGTATTTGGTGGTTTGTGTTCCAGCTTTCGATCAGCATCTATATATCCATAATCCACCAGTTAAAGGAAATACAATGTGTTGTGTTATATTAGCTGTACAATTGACCACATATGGTGTTCTTAGTTTCCATACCTCCTGTGTTTTACGAGCGACTTATCAAGTCTTGGCAAACGGCATAAAACACGATTAAACATGATAGTATATAAAACCATGCTCGTATCTACAACCTATAGAAATGCAAAACGGCGTCAGTTTAGACGTAATTCTGTCCTCCTGCTTACCACATCATTTATGAGAAAACATTTCATAACATTAACACAACATATTCAAGGTGGTTTTAAATAACATATCCGTATTTATTTATTTCTCCAAGTCATGTTTTTGTGTGCACTGAGGAGTCTCAAACAGGCGTTTGTTTAATCATTTTAAGATTGGCTTTAATCAATGTTTGAAAATGAATTCTTCATATGATAAATGAGAGGTAACATTTTATTTATGGTATTATTTCCACATATTTCTCTCCATTCTTCCTTCTGCCAACGGTGTCGCAGTTTCTCGTCTCTCCCGTTGTTGTGCTGAGTGCGTACGCATGGGTTAGAGTTTGCGTGGAGGACCGCACATTTTCCCGTCAAGTTAGAATTTTATAAATCGCAAACATTGCGTAGAAACTGGCGTACGCCATTTTTTGAGCGTATATCCCTTTATAAATGAGGCCCCTGGTGATCAGAATCAGGTGCTTGGGACGGGAAGCAAACCGTTTTTGACCGTGTCGAGATGAGCTGTGTGTTAACCCGTTTGTATCAGAGCGTTACTGGCATGCGTATATTTTTCGCAGAATGGAAACAGTCCGAGCAATGTGGATACCTTCCTGATGAATATATTGGACAAGGACAAGAAGATTCGGAGACAGTTTCTTCCCGCGGGCAGTGAGACTGTTAAACAATTGAACTGTTGAAACAACATCAAACATTCAACTGCTACTCAGTAGTATGTATCTAATACCTAATATATATATATCATTCCAATAACTTGTATATAGACTCATACTGCACTATTCCACATCATAACTTTATTTCATTTTTATAACTATTATTATTTTTGTATTGCTCTTGCTCTTATTGTTATTATGTTATGTTATTATGTTGCATTGTTGGAGAAGCCTGTGACATAAGATTTTCAACTGCATAATTACTCTGTAGCTATGTCAGATTGACAATAAAGAACCTTGAACCTTGAACCTTGATATTGAACTGGAAAAAAATGTATCGGTAGATTCAAAGATATACGGCTCATTGGAAATGGTTTATTAGTCCGGAACATGCGTCCGAACAAAGTTCTCCCGTTCGCATCCCTCAGTGGCTTAAATATAGATTATGCTTTTTTCTCTCAAAACAGAACCTGCTACCACTCCCCCCAGATACACTTTCTCTGTCCATCAGAACCAGCAGGTGAAAGAATACGTTTTCATGAGTTGATATTATTTAACGGTATATGCTTCAAATTAGGGAAATTAGTTATCAAACTAAACATTGGATTAAGTTTCAACCAAAACGGAGATCTTCCTAAAATGAGAATTGGAATTGCTTCACAATCTAATATGGCACTTCCTTAACCTTCAACTATTGAACGGTGCTTTACTCTCTCAACTATCAATCACTGAATCTACCTGGTCACACAAAGTCCGCTTGCATTCAGAAATTGTTAATCGCTGAATAAAACATTTGCTACAATCAATTCAAGCTACATCTTGTAGAATGAAAGCTGAACCACACCTGTAATACTTTTATCATGTCTATATCACCTAAAAGTGTTCCTGTTAAATCCCATCACAAATCATGACCTGGGTCCTTGTTTTACTCGGGAAACAAACTTCTCAAAACACATCACTTAATGAATCAGGGTTTTTATTTCTCAATGTTCTTAACATACAGAAAGACATTTTCTGTATTTACACAGATCCAAAAGATATCAATAATGGCTGTAATGTTCACGACGTGAACCACAGAATGAGGCTGAAAGGCTGAAGATAAAGTGAGCAAAAACATATTCTCCATACGAACTGCTGAGACCTGAGGGCTTCACATTGTAATATCTTAAAGACGAGTTATCCAACATTTAAAATTAAAATTGAAAACCTTTGGAGGCAAGTTCTCTGTCAGTTTGGAGGTAAAAATTAAAAGGGAAGATATAGTCAAAGAAACATCACTCATTTCCTCTTCGACTCTTCTTGTGACTCTTTTTTGAACTCCTGTGTTGTGAAAAAAAACATTTTTGACTTTGAATGTAGATAATTAGACAAATTGTTCACATTTCCTTACATAATTTACACTGAAGATATACAAAATTAGGCAAAATGATTGTTCATGTTTATTTTAAGAAAAAAGTTATTGAAGTTGGCTTCCAAAGTAAAAAAAAACATATTTTACATGGGGTAAGGAAAGTTTATATATCAAAACTCAGAAAAATGATACCCAGGCCCACAAATGCAGAAACATTGTTATAACTTTGCGAGAAGACAAACAAAGCAAACAGTAGCACCACTCACCTCTCTGGGGACTTTGAGTGGCTGCGGTGTCTGTGGCTTCTGTGGTGACCTAGTAGAAAACAATGATAGAATAAGTAGCGAAAACCGTCTTCAAATCATCCTTCACACTCACAATTGGTTTTCTTTTTTAATCTCTGTATAACTTTGAACTTCAATAACAAGTAAACCACCCAAGTGAGGGAATAAAGATCAGCAGAGTTTCCAAATGATGACATAAAACTATAAGTTGTGTTTCGCAGCGATAATTAAAAAATAAACAGTCCAAGTAAGATGAGGTAGAATGAAAGAGTTTCTTCTATAATATTATAAATATTTGCATTAACTGTAGTGTTAAGAAGCTACATTTGCAATAACACAGAATAAAATCAAACACATTCATTTATACGTAAAGATTATGTTCAGGTGTTGTTATATCAGATTATATTAAGAGGTCTTTACAACAATTTACATACATGAGGGAGCAGAATCTTAAAGAAAACTCTGAGTATATGATGACCAGTAGTGTGGCATAGTGTTTTTCTGAGTTCCCACACAGGAACCTACCTGGGGATTTGGAGCGGTGGCGGCGGTCTCTGGAGCGGCTGCGGTGGCGGCGGGGGCTCTTGCTGCGATGGCGGTCTCTCCGGGGCGATGGGCTATGCGAGTTCACACAAAAAAGGGAGACACATGAGCTTGAGCTTAAAGTATTATATATAAAAAAGGTGACAAAGGAGTTTAGCCAAAAGCAAGCATACGTTCGCCTCTTTGGCGATCGGCTCCTCCTGGAGAAAGAAAAATGAAACCCACAAACGGATAAGAGCTATATTCACAATAATTAAATATATTTACAAGAATGTAGTCATTTTAGGTGTTATTTTTTTATCATTGAAACACAAACCGTCTTGGGGAGCGACTGCGTCTGTAACGTGGCGAAGGAGAGCGACGTGGTCTGTCGTCACGGTAACTGTCGCGGCGTCTGTGGGGCTCAGGGGTCTGGAGTCTCTCTGGCTGCAGGGGGAAATAACGACAAACATTTTAAAAAGGCCCCAGACCACAATTAACTGATCCTGTAAAACGTTTGGTCAGCAGTGGATTCATTATGTGGGTGACTTCAGTAACTCAAACATTCTGTGTGACTCAGCTGGCCTTCTGTTCCATTCATTGTATTAATCTTAATTGTTTTGTACAATTATCTAAACCAACTTTGTGTGAAACAGCTGTAAATTACATTTGTGTGCTGAACATGGCAACTACATCTACAGCTGTCACTAACTTGTACAAATAAATATCCTACCTTTAATGATCAAAAGTTTAATTGAAAAGGTTCTACAGACTGAGTGACTTTCTTTAGAAGGTGTAGAAAAAAGCAGTTTGGTATGTATAAGGAGATGTGATTTTGTTTTAATGTAGAGATAACGAAACACATTGTCTCTCCTGGAACACATTTTGTGTCGTTCACATGACAGATGACAGAAATAGCAGTTGTTTTTTTTAAATCAAAAAAGAAATTGGGAGAACCGAATTTACAGGAAATCTGGAAAAATGTTATCCACAACTGCTCTGCAAACATTAGAAGATACCCTTTTCAAGAGGAACAGCTTAGGATTCATTGTGTTAATGTGAGGGAGGTTACAGTCTCTTTATCGCTGTACACAAACCTGATGTTGTCTACCACCACGACCTGAGGAAGTAGAGAAACCATCGCTCCTTACTCAATCTACACCGCTAACTTATCAAGCGCCACACCTTATATTGGAAAGGTTTGGGGGTTAATCCATCTGACCAGCAAGTGGTGACAGAAAATAACCACAGAGAATAACGTGAATATTAACAATATAACAGTTTCAGTCGGCTCTCAGGAACTTGATTTTCTTGAAATAGGGACTGCCCTAATGCACTTTTTGAGAAAAACCTTCGAAGCACACGCAATACAAGTTCTCTACCTGTTCAATAAATCAAAGCTAAAAACTGGAATCGACCTGGGTCGATTGGGCATGTTAAAGTGTATGACCCTAGCTGCCATCTGTAATCATTATTATTGTTGAACTTCAAAGCACACAGGTTTTCACATGTGCTCAAAAAAGCTAATTAAATGTTAGTACCTTCTCTTCGTCCTCTTCTTCCTCATCACTGCTCTCTACCTCGTCCAGATCCTCCTCCAGAGCGCTGATACGTGGGTCTAACATCTCAGCCTCCTCCAGAACGTGTCTTTTCTATTTCACACACACACACACACAATCAGTGGTGTGAACACTTGAATAAAGCTCTGTGTGTGCATGTACAGATGTGATGTGAACATACCTGAAGCCGAGGAAGAATGATGTCACACATCCTCTCTGCGTGAAGGAGCTCATCAATGAACTCGTCAACATGCATCAGTTCAAACTCTATCACGGTGGGAACAAAAGAACAATTTAAATGCATCTATAAAACATTATTAAAAGTGTCTTTAAACACTACCTAGAATTGTATTTAGGCCCAATCACAAATTATTTAAACAACCATAGCAAGACCCGTGTTCGGATCCAGCCCGGGACCATGTGCCGTGTGACATTCCCCCCTTTCATTGCTATCACTCAAATAAAGGCACTGGATGCCCAAAGAAAATCTTGAAAAAACATTAACAACAAAAAACCTCCGTGGCAAGACAATACTGTTTTAAAGGAGAGGTGTCACGGCCATTTCCACTGATCATAATTCCATTGTTGAGGTATACTAAAATAGATTTATACTGCACATTTTTCCAAACTCACATTGGTTTCTCATACAGCATGTCTGTAAAGTATGTGTATTCAGCAGTATTCACTCTCTCCACTAAACGGCTCATTGTAGCTCCCAAAGCTCCAGCCCCCACCCTCCCTGTGAGCCCAGTGTGCTCTGATTGGTCGGGACGTTGTGAATCGCGCTGAGCTCCGTGGAGGTGTTGTTTCCTTGTTTAGGATACACAGCCAAACACAGCCAAACTCATCCTGAGCACACACAAACTCACAGCCGAAGTAAAAACAATAAGTGTGGCTTGATATTGAGTAAGAAAAAGGTTGATAAACTCTGTGAGAATGGGTCTGCAGAGAGAATTTCGCCGCGATCCCAACTGTCTGTTATCAGCCTGCAGCCAGGGAGGAGAAATCAGCAGAGCTGCCTGCACTGAGTGTGTGTGTGTGTGAGGAAGTCCGTCAATCAGCGTGGGCTTAACGTAACGGCTCCGCGGACGTAACGTAGCGGCTCCACGGATTGGTCCATTTGGTTCCGGGTACCGCATGACCGTATCGTGTCATAGCTCTGGGCGTGACTACTGGGTATCCAGATGTCACGATGCCCAGGAAGAACATGAGAAAGTTCCAACGAGGCGTTTTGGGGAGGTCTTTTCTGTGTTAGAGTTTTACTCCCTACAGCAGGGGTCGGCAACAGGCGGACCGCGGTACGGATCCGGACCCAGACGCCGACCTATACGGACCCGGACCTATAATCAATACATTAATAGGGGATTTCAATTTTGACGGGGCGATTCTATTTTAACCGCCGCCGACAGGGGGCGAAAGAGACGAGTGAGCGATACAGGGAGAGAAACACAGAAGAAGAGACGAGAGAGCGATACAGGGAGAGAAACACAGAAGAAGAGACGAGTGAGCGATACAGGGAGAGAAACACAGAAGAAGAGACGAGAGAGCGGCAGAGAGAAGCGGAGAGGAAAGTGAGTGAAGAGAATAATTAGCGATACAGGGAGAGAAACACAGAAGAAGAGACGAGAGAGCGGCAGAGAGAAGCGGAGAGGAAAGTGAGTAAAGAGAATAATTAGCGATACAGGGAGAGAAGACGGAGAGGAGAGTGAACAGGTGTGTTAGCGGCAGACAGGGAGAGACAAATAATTACACATGGCGCTCTCCAAGAAGAGGAAAGTGGACAGTGAGAACAGAGTGGACGGACTCATTCATGTTCATCCGGCCCACTGGGAGCACAGAACCAGTGCATCTCATTCAGAGACCGTGGCACTCATTAAAAGTGCCAAAACGCCAATATGAGACAAAACACAAAGTGTTTGACCAAACATTCCCTCTCAAGTCAGAACTGAGGTCACAAAAAATAAATATCGTTCCAGCGCAGGCTAACCGAGGCTAACCAATGAGCACCTGCATGTGTGTATGAGAATGGCCCTGACACCATTTCAGCCCAGATTTAAAACTCCTGGCAGGACAAGCTCAAGCTCAATTCTCGCACTGAATTAAAAAAAGTGAGTGAGGGACTGCAATATAAGAGGGAAAGAAAGAGAAACTTTAAAACTGTTCAATTGTTATGATGTGTAAAGACTGATATTGTTCTATAATCGTCTGAAACTGTTAAGTCATGATGTGAAACGGTTAACAAAGCTATTTTATTTATTTTCTCTATTTTATTTTTAAATGCAGCCCGAGAGGAACATTACACATATCCACAGTATTTTACTGTACATAGTTCAATGTTCATTGACAATAAATATTGTTGTTTATGAATTGTACTTTCTTTATTTGATTGGCAGTCAGTTGTTGATTACATGCAGACGTTGATACAGCTGCAGGCTACTTCAATATATCACACTAATTCATAAAGCAAGTTAGACATTTTGAAGTTCCGGACCTTTGCATGGAGAGATTTTCTCTAACTGGACCTCGTTGAATTTTAGTTGAATACCCCTGCCCTACAGGGTGTACTTTGAGGGTTTTTGACTGCAGACCGTTTACATGCATAAAAACCTTCATAACACACAAGGGGACGGGTAATAACCGGAAAAGCATGACACCTCTCCTTTAAGAAGAAAAAATGGAGAGCACGATTAAGCTTAATTAAAGTTGTCAGATAACTTTTCCAAAAGTTTGCAGGGATTTCTTTCAAGTCAACACAACTGTATTAGTCTGTAATGGCAATGTGATTCTAGGCAAGTAAAAACCGACAGGAATCACAGAATTGTCCTTTGCCCTGACCTTCTGAACAAGTTAAAAACGGGTTAGAAACGCTTTTTTTTTTCCTTTCTTTGAACTGAGGGATGGGAAGAAGCTAATGAAAGAGACAGAATGTATTGCGTTTCCTGGCGTACTTCTTATTTTGCATAAACTTCATGGTGTTATAAAAGATGGTACCAAGATATTTGGACTGGTTAACAACACCATCTCATCACTTTGTATAACAACTGTGTTTGTCTTGATATTGTTCCTCCAGAAATCAAATTTTTCTTTATGGATATTTTACAAATCACTCCCCTTTCAAACTGTATTCTTGTTTATTAATAACAACTTTTTTTTACTGTCATATAGTATTTTATACCTGTTTACTTTATTCTCTTATTTTGTTATAACTATAATGATCATATAAAGATGTGCCTTTACCTCACTGGTTGTAGAAGCTTCTTATATTCGTTAGCATAGCTAGCTAACCAGATGCTAATAACAACAAAGTTATTGACTGTATGATCAGTATGACAGATGAACAGATCACCACTGGGCTTTCAACTAAAGACACAGCCACGCAAAAACTGCGGCATTTGTACAGCTCCTTATGGGTACTGACATTTCTGGAAGTGGCGGAGCGGCGTTCTGGTACTCTCCGTCAGAACTGCACCCCTGTCAGACCAGACATATACCACGTGATGACACGTTAGGATCGTGTTGTGTTCAAGGACCCTGACCGTGGCCAGGAAAAACAGGCACTCGCTTGTTTTTGCAGTCTAGATTTCTTACATTTATTTCTTTTTTGCGTGTGTTTATAAAATTACCTCGAGGGCCGTACCAAATGGTCTCGCGGGCCGTATACGGCCCGGGGGCCGGAGGTTCCCCACCGCTGGTGTAGAGAATACACAGGAAGAGGCATAGGAAGCCCCCTTAGCCTGTGCTGGTGTACAGTGTCTCTAATAAAGAGCCGATTGTTAGAACTATCTTTGGTCTTCCTTTTAAAAAATCTATAATATATAGAAAAAGACCATGGTCTATTTTCTTGGCATGGATGTTATACACAGAAATAAATCTGTTTTCTCAATACAGGTTTATCCCATCTTGTGTAAACTTGCTTTAATTTAGACCCTTGATAAGGTCCCGGCATGCATCTTACACATTCCTATCAAGAGAGAGAGAGATAGATATATAGATATATATATCTATATATATATATATATATATATATATATATATATATAAGAAGCAATCTTGTATATATAGTATAAAAAAGTTCTAAGGAAGGTATTAGAATATCATCCAGATAACATGTACAGAGCACTCAGATGGGGATGTCTTCTTCTTGGGAGGTTCGATATTTCCTCTTCTTTCAGGTAGGCTGGTACTTTTCTACTGATTTCACGTTTTGTGCTAAGCTAACCTGCTCCTGGTTGGTTTTAAAAAGACAGCAGGAACAGGGAACCACTGGTTTACACTTCTAGACATTTATATGCCTACTGTGAGTTGATTAATCAAAAACTCACCTCCGTTTCTGTTCTGACTCTTGACTTTTCTGTAATCGTTATACAGCGGCTCCAAGTATTTGTAGCAATCAACAGCAGTGCCAGTTAACCTCATGTACATCGCTCCCAGTAGACGAACATATCTAAAAACAAAGTGAGAACATATTAAGATTGTAAGAAAATACTTATCATACACATTTCTCTCATGTTGACTGGTCTTTCAGATGCAACAAATTTAAATCACTGCATCAATTTTTTGCAGCGTAGGTTTGCACATAAAATGAATTTGCTTTTGTGTTTTGTGCATAACAATAAACAATTCATAACAAGAGCTTTGCAGTTTTATCAGGAACCTGAAACAGTTTGCAGTATAGCAGAGTGAATATACGCAATGTACAAAGATTTGCAATGTACAAAGATAAACGTTAAAAATATATGATATAAGGCATTAAGACAGTTATAAATATAATACAATGTGAAAGTGTGCCTGCATTTATCCTATGTTTCATGTTGTTGTTTGATGAAGTGAATATAGCACCAGACATGTGTTAATTGTTTCTCTCAATAGATTGTGATAGAAACTCACTTGAAATCCTCGTTTTTAATGAACTCAACGATGATGTCTTTTTCAGGTTGAATCTGCAGCATCTTCAGAGTGAGGCAGAGGAAGGGAGTGGGCTTGATGTTTCCTCCAAACACTCCACCAACATATTTCAACTCCATGGCTTTATCTACAACCAGCTCAGCTGGGAATGACACAACATGCACACATTACATCACAGTAACTGGGAAATACAAAAGTAACTAAAAGAAAACGTTGACACCAACCTGGAGGCTAATAAAATACTATTACAAATGAATACAAATTGAGTTTTGGTCATTCTATAGTAAAAAGCAAACTATAACCACTAACTGTATGCGGTACATGATAGATGATCACTCTATATTGGTGTTAAAATAAAGAGCCCATGTATATTCACTTCATTATTCATCAGGCAAAATATCAAATAAATGATGGCTATGTATCCCGGTGGACAATGGGTAAATTACTTTAATGATAGCTTAGAGTTAGGTTGTGTTAACTTAATAAGCTATTGACATACTTGTTATGTTACATGTTAAGAGATCTAGAGTAAACTATAAGAAACGGTTCCATGTCTGTTAACGTGACTCCAGAGAACAGGAGGCTAACGGTAGCTCTCTGGCTAACAAGCCAACGTTCCTCACCGGTGAGACCGAAGCACTCCTCCTTCCAGTACTTTGATTCGTATATTCGAGTCCGGATGATTTTCTCCACCAAATACTGCGGGTTGGTCCCGTGTATACTGTTAGCATCTTTAACGGTTCTGTTTGCCATTTAAATACAATGAGTTACTTTTGCTAACAGGGAAACAACAGCACGACTGTCGCTGCCCGATCCTTTCCGGGAACACGATTTGTTCTGCGCATGTGCGAAATTGAAGCTACTTCTTCTTCTCTTCTTCTTTTTCGGGTTTTACGCAAGCCCCCAGGAAGTGCGCCGGACTCAGATGAAAATATTCGTGGTGGCCAAACGGCAGTACTACACTTCCGTTTGGTTGCCAGGCCCGGAAACACTTTTTCCCATTGACTTAGAAAGAAAGAGTGGTCTGTAAATCGTTGGATACTTTTTTTTAAACTAAATAAACTACCCAGTATGAACACTTGTATAGCCCTTATACATTCGTTCCTCAAGTTGTAAAAATGTGCTAATAACGTTATTCTGAGAGTTATTTCCCTCTGTTATTTCATTATGCATTATCTAATCCACGGGACCGCGCCGCCCGGCACGTTCATGTGATGTGACCAAGCGGCAAACTCTGGGGAAGAGCCGGGACGCCAATACGGAAGTGCCACAAACTGCAGTTCATATATTGGCCGATAGGCGATGACTGCAGAAAGGAGCAATTTCCATAGACCCCAATGTTAAAATGCCCATTTTCACAGCAGAAAAAAAAACGTTTCTAGCCCTGGCTCCATACATTTTATTATGTATATAGTTAGATTCCACCTTCGTGATTATGAATCTGTGAGTGAATTGTTTTCTAACGCGACCCTTTTATTTATATTAGGTCTTAAAGTTTTTGCATAAATTAGGGCGTGGTCACATTGAGTGACAGCTCTGTCAGGTGACTGCTGCTGTTAGCTTTTTGTCTCTCTGCTAGCTGCTCCGTCCGTGAAGCTACAGGGACACTGCCTGCCCAGTTCATCCAGGGAACACAACTTGATCCCGGCCGTGTTTGTTTGTTCTTCATGCTTATATATCGGACTATTGTGACTCGCTCTGCGGTTAAAACAGACGGTGCATGAATGCCGTTTTGCGGTAAGTGAAATTCGAGTACTTTATTTATGTGTTTATGATACGTAATGAATGTTAAGGCTTGGGTTTGCGTGTAAGCGAGTGGTAGCTATGCTCAAGTATGTAGACAAGCTAACGTCGAAGTAGTGTATGTGAAATCAACCTCACAATAAGATGTGTGTATATTACAATTATTAATGTCATATTTTCAAGATGATTACTTAGATATTACAATATGGTTGGTTGAGCTGGAGTTCATTATTGAGTTTACACGTTAACGTCACAGTCATCTGAAGAACGAACCCAAACGTTGTTGTTTTTATTAATTGCATTACCAAATTGGTATCAAATAAACAGTAACACAACAGCATTGGTAACACAACTTCCAAAGTTACAGTAAAATAAAAAGAACCCTGACTCGGACAACACACAATCCAACATGTTCAACAGAAGAGAATAAGTTATATTGTTTGTACACATGGTTCTTTACATATATATCTGTTTGTTTAAAGTTTCCAGGTGATGCAGACAGGATGGACCAGAGAGTGAGAGACAGAACTGGACTCCTCACAGCAGTGAACTTCAGCACAGGTACAAATACTCTTTTTTCATACTGTACAAAGAATCAAGAAAGATATTGGTTTAAATAAATGAAGTATTGACTTTAATACACTGATATACATTCCATTAAACAATACTAAATACTAGATCACCTACACATCAGTGAAGTTGAGGGTTTTTTTCCATGCAAAGGGTTAAATTTAGATGTTAACAAGCAATATGACTGTCAGCTTTCTAATTTAAGGTATTGAAGGCAAAGATATTTAACGCATAGTGACAACTGCTATTTATCTCTCAATATTGTCTGTAAAAACGTAGTAAAAGTTATTCTTTCAGTGAGACAACAGAGCAAGCTTGTTTTAATAACAGTTACATATTATTTTGATAATAAAATACATTTCAATGTTGATGAATTTCATACTGTTCATTCATAATCTGATTGTCTTTGTAGCTCACTGTTGAAATAAAAAAAAAAACATTACAATTACAAAATAATTATATCTACAGCCCCTAAACACAAACACACCTCTTTCATAAATAACACACTTGTTCTGCAATAATATGCTTTATGTTTCCTGTAATTTTTGTTAGGAAAGGACATGCCTGAAAGACACGACTCAGCATCTCCTCTTTCTCCGAGGGTCAAGAAAAACATCCAATAGGAAAATGAAAAGCTGATGTTATGAGATGTTAAGACCAGTACAGGACATTCACTAAGAAACCATTTTTATTGTGAAAACACAGTCAGCTGATCGAATGCACCTATTTCCACATCTACACTCCATCAGCTGATTATTTCTATTTGCCTCACTTCATGAGCTTCACAACATGTACCTTGTACCACAGAGTTTGCAACGCAAATAAATGGGGCCAATCTTCAGTCGGATGTGAATGTGTAATCTAACATTTTCAGTAAGAATAATGGACAAAAGGAGTGCAAATACAAATTCAATTTATTGAAATGTGAACCAAAAGTTAATCAAACATGTTTTAAATAAAAAGCACATATGGACAGAAGGTGTAAACCTATTAAATGTATAAGTAAACACATTTAGTCAAATAAAGTGACAGACTAGGCCTGATCAGGTGGTATCAGCTATGCATGGGCTCCTCCATCAGGCTTGATCCTCCTCGCTGAGGAAAGACCCTGAGTCTTCTCCAAACCAACAGACAGGACGTCCATCACACGGAGGTTTCTCCCTGAAGTCTCTGCAGCTCTCTGGACACCACGCTGTCTCAATCCATCCACACTGAATATGAGAGGGGAAAAATGAAAATAATAAATGCTTTAGACAATAAGAAATATAAAGTTGACTGTTGAGTTGCTCAGTTTTTTTAGATTGTCAATACTATTACTGTATAACTAATATCTCAGGTTGAGAGGCACCTTCAAATAAAGATTGGTCTTTAAATACATTTTGTCTTTTGAATTGTTTGTCTAAAGTCAAGGATCTAGAACTGGTACTTGTAGTTTTAATGATACAGTCTGGTTATAATGCTGTTTGGAGGAGGCCTCACAGGTAAGAGCACTAACTAGCTATCATCACATGTACCTTAGCTTAACTTAAATGTATTACACGTATAATTAAGTGATGGCAAAATATAAATAACTAATGTCATGCAAACATATTAATATTTTTGCTTGATTCCAGTGTTTAATTTAGCACATTGCATACAAACGTTAAGGGATTTTAAGATTCTGAAGTATTATGCTAAAAACTCAACTTAGATTACTATTTATAGTTTTGCTGAATAGTCTCATGTCCGCTTACCTTAGAAACGTACAATGCGACGGCAACTCTGCAGATGGTGAGCATGTTAGCTTAGCTTGGTAGCTTCAGCTAGCTCTGTTACTTCCAGCCCGGAGGCAGGAGGTCCCGCCTCGGCTCCGCCTCGGCTCCGCCTCTTTGCCCTTATTTGGAGCAGGCTGGAGCAGGCGGGAGTGGAACTCTGACGCCACTGCCGAGCCGTTAGTGGCCGACTCCGCCTACTAAGGGCTTCTCGGCAACTCTGCAGAATTCTATGGGTGACGTCACGGACCCTACGTCCATTTATATATACAGTCTATGGATGTGACGTGTTCAGTACTACATGAGTTTTACCTTTACCCAGCGCCTTCTATTATACGGCTCTGCCTTTACCCATGGATGCATGTATGGAGGACAGAACATGACTTAAGTATAAATAAATAAATGTGTAAATAAATGTATGAAGAAATACAGGAATAAATAAATAAATACGTAAATAAATAAATAAATAAATACAGGAATAAATAAATGACGAAATAAATACAGAAATAAATAAATGTTGAAATAAATACACAAATAAATAAATAAAATAATAAATAAATAAATAAATGCATAAATAAATATGGAAATAAATACACCAATGTATAAATAAATAAATAAAAGTCGAAAATAAAACAGAACACACGTTATTATATATCTTTCATATATTTCTACATTTACGCGACATACATTTATTTATTTATTTATTTATGTGTCCGTATTGCTAATGAGGTGGGCGGTCCTAACCTCAGTCTGAAGCAGGATTCGCCTGCTGTTGGAGCCAGGCAGAAGCAAGAGATTTGTGGCAAGTCACATCTGTTCATTCTGTGTACAGTGTACACCCACGGCAACTCGCTAATAATGGCTTCTTTAATAATTGTTATTTCGCACACCCGTTCGCGATGTCCCCAGCGGTGTGCCCCCAACGAAGATGTGCTTCAATAACGTTTGGGGGCAACATGTAAGATGGGGGTCGCCTCCTCTGTTTCCGAGAGGATTTCAAGTTGGCGGGCAACCTCTTGAAGACTCTCAAACACAGCTGGGTTAACATCCACATCCATGTCAAGCTGAGCCAAGTCCTCTATACATCGTTCCACACGAAACTGGACATAGAGAGGACATAGTCTTTTGGTTCTCCGTTCTCTAAATGGTCCGCTAATGATCTCCAATGGCTCTTAAACCAATACCCATAAATAATCCTTACAACTGTGGATAAACCATGGATGTATAAAGATAAGGGCTAAACAGTAAAGCTCCTGCATTCGAATCAGCGCGGTTAGCCAGGCGTTAGTATAGCCCTCTGCCAGAAATGATCACACACTCCTGTAACCAATCCTGCTTCAGACTGAGGTTAGGACCGCCCACCTCATTAGCATACGGACACATAAATAAATAAATAAATGTATGTCGAGTAAATGTAGAAATATATGAAAGATATATAATAACGTGTGTTCTGTTTTATTTATTTATACGTTGGTGTATTTATTTCCATATTTATTTATTCTTTTATTTGTGTATTTATTTCAACATTTATTTATTTATGTATTTATTTCATCATTTATTTATTCCTGTATTTATTTATTCCTGTATTTATTTATTTATTTATTTATTTATGTATTTATTTATTTATTCCTGTATTTCTTCATACATTTATTTACACATTTATTTATTTATACTTAAAGGGGACCTATCATGCAAAATGCACTTTTGTACGTCTTTTATACATGAATGTGTCCCCGGTGTTCCAGGGAACTCACCAAGTGTCAGAAAACACAACCCTC